TAAAGTCAAATTTGCCTAAGGTTAAATTAAAAAATAATGGACTAAGTTGTGTGAGGTGGTACACTCCCAGTACTTGGGAGGCAGAGGTAGGTGAATCTCTGTGAGTTTGAGGCCAGCCTGGTCTACATTGTAAGTTCCAGGCCAGGTGGGGCTACAGTGAGACCCTATCTCAAAAAGACAAAATAATAAAAACATAATAATAATGGACTAGCTGAGCGTGGTGGTGTACTCCTTTAATCCGAGCACTGGGGAGGCAGAGGCATCTCTGTGAGTTTGAGACCAGCTTGGTCTCCATAGCAAATCCAGGAAAGCTGTGGCTACAGGAGACCCTGTCTCAAAAAAAAAAACAAACAAAAAACCTAATGTATTACTTACTTTTCTGTTGCTGTGACAGAAACACCATGACCAAGGGAACTTATAAAAGGAAGAGTTTATTTAGCTTATGCTTCCAAAGGGGCAGGAGTTAGTCCATCACGATGGAGAGGCATGCTGGTAGGAGTGGCTGGAGGAGGAACAGAAGTTAAGCTCTCACATCTTTAAGCAGGCACAGGATACAAGAGAGGAACTGGAGATCCAGCAAGGCTTAAGACCTCTCTAAGCTGCCCCCAGTGATATGCTTCTTCCAGCATGGCCACACCTTCTAAGACCTCCCAAAACAGCAGTGCCAACTGGGGACAAAATGCTCAAATACTTGGAGCCTATGGGGAACACTCTCATTAAGACTGCCACAACTAACTAATAACTCACAAGTCTATAATGAAAAGATGGGGCAAAAATATACAATGTAGTTTCAAGAGAAAAAGAGCACTAGAGGAAGCCTAATATTATAGCCAGAGCATGTGCTGAAAGAAAGGTTGCAATTGCTATGGAGATTAGTGCCATTAAGGGGATACCTCCTGCTCTTCATGGAACAATGGGCAGGGTACTATCAGAGCAAGAACCCACCCAGTTAAACTTCCAACTTATATTTTATTTTATTATTTTTTATTTTATTTATATGTATGTATGTATTGCCTGCATGTAGGTAAGTGCACCCGGGTTGTGCAGTGCTCATAGAGGACAGAAGAAGCTGTTGGATCCCCTGGAACTGGAGTTATGGACAGCTGTTAGCTGACAAGTGGGTGCTGGGATTTGAACCTGGGTCTTCTGCAGGAACAGCCAATGTTCTTAACTGCTGAGCCATCTCTCCAGCCCCTAAACTTCCAACTTATAAAAGGAGAAAGCTTAGTAGGTTTCTTCCTCCCAGAAAGCAATTGCTTCAATGTACAAAGCTGCTCCTAATGTGATAGAGGGCATGAGAGTTTAAAGGCCTGTGCCACCATGCCTGGCTTTCACCCCACTTTTAATTTGTTCTCTCTGCTTTGTGTTTAAGGTTGAAAATGTGATCTCTCAGCTTCCTGCTCCTATTACCATGTCTGCCTATTGCCATAGCCCTGCCATTATGGTCTCTCCTGTTGGAACCACGAGACCAAAACAAATCCTTCTTTTCATATGTTCATTTTAGTTATGGTATTTTATTACACCAACAAAAAGGCAACTAATACAACACTCTGTTTCCTTCCAGCTTGCAGATGGCCACTGCAGAACTACCCAGCAACAATAATAACATCAATGAATATACAGACATTAAAAACAAAATTGTTTAGACAGCCTGAGAGCGCAGGTTCCGACTCCATCTGTGTACTGTGATCTCAGCAGACTGCCAGAAAGTGCCTGTTCCCGCCTCCCTCTGGCATAGGGGCTGAGAATCCAAGGGACTGCCTGAGAGTGCCCGGATCCTGCCTCCACACAGTGATAAGAGTTATGCAATTTGGGAGTCTTTTAGATAGAACCACTGAAGGGGTACCCCAATTGCCTTACCCTGCTGACCCTGTTCAGCATGGAAGAAGCCAAAGCAGTGTGCGTCCAGATTCCCTATCCACAAGTTGGGTAACCTCTTCAGAGTATGGTGTTGATAAGAATGTAAAAAGACCCCAAAGAAAAGTAGCCAGTTTCTTGGCTAAAAGTCAAAATGTCCTTGGGCCTCTTAGCAAAATACTCTGTTCCAAAGGTCAAAAATGTTGAAAGTATTTGGAAGCTCTTATCTAGTCCTTAAAAGATTTTAGGGTAACCTCTTTAGAGGGGGGAATGTTAGAGTAGCAAACATTAAAAAAAAAAAAAAAAAAGAGTACATGAAGTTACCAGAAAAAAGTGATGTGATGGGGAGATATGGGAGGAGCTGGAGGGGAGGGAGTGGCATGGATTTGATCAAAACATTTTATATGCCTATATGAAATTCTCAATAAATTATTTAAAAATAAAAAATAATAGAAAAGCAAAAGAAAACAAAACAAAATTGTTACATAAAATAAAACTTAAATGTTATATCTATTGTATATTTAGGAAATAAACCTCAGTATTTTATAGATACCAGCTCTCTATAAATTATTCTATAAATTCAATGCAATTTCAATAAAAATTCAGTATTTTCTGAAATTCTAAGTGATTATAATGGTTAATCAGGATTTCAGTTTTACTGGATTGAAAGATGTCTAGGAAATTAGTAAAGCACACTGATGGTTGTTTCTCTGAGAGTGTTTCCAGAGTTGATATGCATGTGGATCAGTGAGCTGAGAGAAGCCCCATGCTAAATGTGGGCAATACCATCCAACAGGGGATTGGATGGAACAAAATGTGGAAGAGGGGGGATCACCCAGTCCGTGTAAGATCTACCCTTTTTGAACCAGTGTTCTTTTTGGTTTTTTGTTAGTTTTAGGGGTGTGTATGTGTGTGTGTGTGTGTGTGTGTGTGTGTGAGAGAGAGAGAGAGAGAGAGAGAGAAGAGAAGGATTTGATTATGGAATGGGTGTGAAATAAGAGGACAACTTTCAGGAGTTTGTTTCCTCCTTCAATCATGGGATCAAGTTGAGTCATCAGACTTGTGGAGCAAGTCCTTTTAACTAATGAGCCATCTTGGCTGCATTGCTGCTGTTTTTACTTCAACATCAGACTCCATCTTCTTCAGCTTTTATTGTTATTGACTGGCATTTTTACATTTATTTATTTATGTATTTATTTTATTATCCATCCATCCATCCATCCATCCATCCATCCTCTATTTATTCATCTGTGCATATAAATGTATGGGTGTGTACATGCCAAAGTGCACATGTGGGGGCCAGAGGACAACTTTTGAGTCAGTTCCCTCCCTCTACCACCTGTGTCCTGGGGATCAAACCCCAGTCATCAGGCTTAGTGACGAGCAACTTTACCCACTGAGTCATCTTGTGACTCTCCTGTGAGCTTCCAAGTCTTCAGCCTTGAACAGATGCTGCATTTTGGGTGTTTCTTGTTCTGAAGCTACCAGCCTTTTGGACTAAGTGGCCACTGGTTTCTCTGACTTTCTGGCTTGCAGATGACCACTGAGGAACTGTCCAGCCTCAGATCATGTAAGTCAATGTAATAAATCCCTTTTCTATACTTACATATTCCTTGTACTAGTTTTGTTACTTCAGAGACGTTGGTTAATAGAATGATTATAAAAATCAACAGAGTGAGCAAGAGGTTAAAGAGCTCTTACTCTATTATGAAGTTAATACATTCAGAACTTTACCATGCTACAAGTCCAGATCTATATAAAACTACAACTCAATACGCTAACTTTAGTGTTAATTCACTAAGGTTAAACAAAAAGGCCCAGAGATCAGAATAGAAAAGTCCACAAATACGTTCATGAATATATGAAAAAAGTAAACTGCTGATAAAAAACAAAGTATTTAATGTATGAATCAAGACAAGGAGTTATTTTTTTGTGAAATACATCCAATGTTGGATGTCTTCTTTACAACTACCTTAAAATAAATTCCAGATGGATTAAAAAACTAAATGTGAAAAAACTTAAATATTTTAGAATACAGGAAAATAGTGTTAAAATATTCATAAACTTCAGATAATTTGAAATAAGTTCAAATAAGCAACTGTATCAAATAAAATGCATGTCATTATGAATGAAGATATTGATAAAAATGTGTCATTCTATTTATTAAAAAGACAACTTCAAAAAATTAAGGTGGTATAGCAAGGTGGATCCGCAGGAAAAGGTGCCTGTCACAAAGCCTGACAACCTGAGTTCAATACCCAGGAGCTACAAAGTAGAAGGAGAAAACCAATTCCTACAACTTGTCTTCTGACCTCTACACATGTACATGGCGCGCGCACACACACATACACACAAATAAATAAATGTACAAAATTTTTTTTAAGAATCAAGAAAAACAACCAGATTTAAAGATATTTGCATGAATTGCAGCCAGCAAAAACACAATATTTAGATTATATTTTTAGAAGTCCTTAAATCAGTAAGAACTCTTCCACAAATAACAAAACATATATACTTGTAACTTGCAGAAAGGATAAGCAAATTGAGAATAACTAAAAAATGTGAGAAATTCACAGTTACATTATAATTAGGTAATTTAGTATTGTGCCATTTTATAATACTGAATCTGATTAACAAGGATTATTTTGAATTTAATAATATCAAGTAGTGTTGCAGGCCTTTAGTCCCATCCCAGTACTTGGAAGCCAGAGGCAGGCGGATCTCTGTGAGATCAAGACCAGCTTCGTCAGCATAGCAAACTCCAGGCCAACTGGGGCTACAAAGAGATCCTGTCTCAAAAAGACCAAATAATAATAATAATAATAATAATAATAATAATAATAATGATGATAATGATAATAATATAAAGAATTACTGACTAGATAAATAGGTACACTTACTCAATAATGGTGAAAAATGTACTGATAAAATAATCTTTGTGAGTAGTTAGATGGCAAGTATTAAAGGTGAATCTATACAAGTGCTGTTTTCTAGAAATTTTACTCTGGGCATATCCCCTACAGAAACTCTCACTTATGAAGAAATCAGGCAGGAATACAGGAATACAAAATGTTGTATGTTATCTTTAAGGTTTTAATTTTTAAAAAACCTCCAAAGCAGATTTGGCAGACTGTCATCCTTACGTTTCTTAGCTGGCATAAAGATAATGTCACAGTGGTATCATCTAAGAGTGAGCTTCTGTCTCGGCCTTGTCCAAAACTTTCACCATCTTCAAAGAGAAAACTGAAAGAGTTTTTTTTAAAAAGACAGTTGTTAAAATGATCATTAAAAAAATCTTTGACTTTCTCTCCCTCTCTCTCTCTCTCTCTCTCTCTCTCTCTCTCTCTCTCTCTCTATTGAGCTTTTGCAAGTTCATACAACAGTTCTGACAACTATGCCTCCCCCATCCCCTCCCCGATCAACAATCAGTCTCAAATAGTTCTCAGTCTAGTGCTGGCCTGCCACCCATTTCTCTCTTCCCTTCTGGGCTCAACTAAGTTGAGATGGGTCTTCTGGGAAATAAAAACTTCCTATCACAAACCTTTCATCAAGAAGAAATAAATTTAAACTGGACACTTAATTTTGAAAAACAATTCCAACATGTTGGCACATGTCTGGAATCCCAGTACTTGGGAGGTGTAGGTAGGAGGATCAAAGTTCAAGGACAGCCTCAGTTACAAGGTGAGTTCAAGGCTAGCATAGGCTATATGAGACTTTTTCTTTTAAGAAAATGATTTAAAAAACGCAACTGCTAAATGAAATTTCTCTAAACAAGGTTAACCTTTATATATATTTTGATTTGGTATAAATCTGGTAGACATTTTGTCCTAATTAGTTTTAACTGTTAATGTGATACAGCTAAGTCATCTGAGAGATGACTAGATCAGATTGGCCTGTGGGCAAGTCTGTGGGGACTATCTTGATTGTTTATTTATGCTAGAGGGCCCAGCTCATGGTGGGTGCCATCCCTAGGCAGGTAGTCCTCAACTTAGTAAGTATAAGCTGGCCTGTGAGGCAGCTAGCTAACAGCACCTTCCATGGTTCTTTCTGTACTTCTCTGCTGTGAAGTTAGTTCCCTGGTCAAAGGTAATAAGGTATGGGATAGCAAGCAATTCTGCCTTCAGTTCTGGCCTTGACATCCCTCAATGATGGACTTCAACCCAGAGTTATAAGTTAAAATAAACCTTTCCACCACTAAGTTGCTTTTGGTCAAGATATTTGTGAGAGCAAGCCAAATGAAACTAGAACATACACATAAAGCATTTCGGAAACCCAAGGGTGTCACTTCATGCACATTCAATGATACAATGACTGTCTTCATGTTGTTTAAATGTGCTTCTGTGAAAATTTATGTAGGTGGAAAACTACAAGGAGAGGAAGAATAAGCACAATGGTGGATAATGTCTCAGGGAAAGAATAACAAATGCCTGAAATTTGGTTTAGAGTTTCGGAAACTTTTAAGAATCTATATATCATTTGAACCATTGTTTCAATTTTCTATAATTTATTTCTGATTTTAGACAATTCAATGGATGAGTGGTATAACTAAGATTAACACCTAAAAACTGTTTAAAGAGTAAAGAAAGAGCTGGTGATACATCTTAGCAGAGTATTTACCTAGCACCATGTGCAAGGTACTGGGTTTGAAAACCAGCACAGAAAAAAAAAATGGGGCTGGGGGCATTGTCAATCTGTCATGGAGAAGGGGAGAGGTCAGGAGGCCCCACCTTAACCAAGTACATAAAAGTAGTTAATGGAGAAAATATTTTTTTAAAGAAAGAAAAATTAAAAAGGGGAAAGGTAGAAGACTAATAATGGTGTATCCAAACAACTAATCTAAAGATTTAACAGGAAAATGATGATGATCAGATAATTTCTCAAGTTACCTATTGTGGTGCTTTAAATGAAAACTGTCCCCAGAGGCTCATGTATTTGAATACTTGGTCCCTAACACATGAACACATGTATTGAACACTTGGGGGCATATTTTAGAGAGGTTATGGAAGGTGCAGCCTTACTGGAGGAAGTAGATTACTGGGGGTAGGCTTTGAAGGTTTATAGCCTGGCTCCACTTCCTATTCTCTGTTTCCTTTGTTCAGATGAGACTGTGATTGCTCTGCCTCCTGCTCCTCATGTCACCTTCTCCCTGACATGAAAGACTACACTTCTAGAACAGTACACTAAAACAAATTCTTCTATAAGTTGTTATTAGTCATGGTACTTTATCATGGCAACAGAAAAGTAACTAACATACCTACAATGATCAAATCTGTCCTAGATTATGAAATTAAAATTTTAGAGCTCAAGGAATTCACACCCATTTTTCTATATGAATAGCAATGTTATAGTGTCTTCAATATCACTGCTTTTCATTAATGTTATTAATTTTTATAATAAAGCTAATTATTTTTAAAAGATATTTATTTGCCAGGCATAGTGGCAAACACCTTTAATCCCAGAACTTGGGAGACAGAGGCAGGCAGATCTCCGTGAGTTCGAGGCCAGCCTGGTCTACATAGTGAGTTCTAGGTCACCTGGGGCTACAGGGAAACCCTGTCTTAAAAAGACACAAACACACATACACACACATAAAAAAATTAAAAAGATAATATTTAAAAGCAATAAAAAAATGTTGATAGGAACTCTGCAATTTCAAACTTTAACCGATCAAACAAAGTGTTCAAAATTTCAGACTGGAACAAAGAGTTCCAGTTGCTTCCAAATTCACATAGTTAGAATTAGAACGTCTACCAAGAGAAAAGAAATTAAAATTGAAAGAATCAACCTTTTTTTTTCTTTGCTATTAGAAGAAATTTCTTTACTCACTTGGGGAGTGTGCAGATAGGTGGTTTGGATCGAATGATTTCCTTGTTTATAAGTTCTTTCTCCAAGTCACCTCCAGCCAAACACCAAAGATAGTAAACTTCTTCAATAGATCTTTCTGCCAGGTAATCACTGTTTACACCTATTAATGGTAAATTTAAAAAATGCCATTGAAGTTTCTGTCTTTATTAATAGCTGATAGTAGTAATAGCTGACATTCTGAAGAAGTAAATCGAACAGATTATCAGTTCTGTATGTATATAAGGAATTTTCAAGTTGCCACTTCACCTAAAAATAAAACAGAAGAGACTGAAAATAATCAGGAATCCTCCTGAGAACTGTAAGAGAGGCCAGGACAAGGGACAAATTACTGCCCCGAGGTCAGAGAAGCAGACAGGAGAATGCTAAGAGTTTCAACCTACTGGAGCAGAAAAAAGTTTGAGGAACCAGAGCTGGGGTAGAAAAAGTTGAACTGTAATCAGTGAGCTGCTGCAGGTACAGTGTGAACAAGTATGAGGCCCTGAAACTCCAGGGGGACTGAAGTCATAGGGCATCAGCACTTCTGTAAATGTTATTGACAAGAGACTGCCTAGTTCTTCACTGTAAATACTGAAGAAGTCTATCCTTGTGTTTCTGGAGTGGGAGGAGGATATAGAACCAATCTGAAATGCCAGAGCATTACTTCCTTCTTTGCAAGGCAATTCCCTCAGGAAAAGTTAGAGCCTAACTAATGCAGTAGTAGGGCATGGAAGAAGGAAAACATCTTATGGCCTATGAGTAGGGTTCAATGTTCTTCTGTCCTTAGGTGAAATAGGAAGGCTAGGATGGGCTGGTGGTATGTTGCTTCCTTGCATGCAGATAAGTCATGACCTGCTGATTCTGACTCATTTTTTTTAACAGGTTAAAGTCATCCTAAAAGTGGTTTGTGAATAAAAACAGTCAAGTGGTGGAGCTTGTTGCAACTCTAGCACTTCTTCCTGCATTCCAAATGGAATGTGAAGTGCTACTGCAGTGTCTTTCTGGTCAAGAAAAAATTCTGTTCCTAAAAGAAACGGTCACTCTAAACAGATTTCTACTGGGACCCTCCTGTTAGTCAACTTCTATACAAGCCTTCCTCCTATAGCAGGAGAAGCCAGGAAAGGGAAAAATCTGAAAGACCTCCCCCACACCCATATAAAAAGCTATACAACTAGAATTTCTATCTTCTACGTTTAGAAAGAAATATGGGCAGGAAAAAATAACACAAAAGAAACGGTCACTCTAAACAGATTTCTACTGGGACCCTCCTGTTAGTCAACTTCTATACAAGCCTTCCTCCTATAGCAGGAGAAGCCAGGAAAGGGAAAAATCTGAAAGACCTCCCCCACACCCATATAAAAAGCTATACAACTAGAATTTCTATCTTCTACGTTTAGAAAGAAATATGGGCAGGAAAAAATAACAAAAAAAAAAAAAAAAAAACAAAAGAAAACAACAAAACATATGTGCATAGGCAATCAATAGAAATGATCCTTTCCTTCTGCTTCAAGGCAGAATATAATGGTATGGACTTCCTATCAGTAATATAATTTTAAGACCATTTATAATAAATTATATGGAGCATTAATAACTTGGAGGAAAAATCTGAGTGAATTTTATTTTATTAATTAATTTATTTTTGAGACAGGGTCTCCCTGTAGCCCCAGCTGGCTTTGAACTCACTGTGTAGACCAGGCTGGCCTTGAACCCACAGAGATCCGCCTGCTTCTGCCTCCTGAGTGCAGAGATTAAAGGTGTGCACCACCACACCTAGTGAGTGAATTATATTTTAAATACTTCCAGAATCATCTCTCTCTTTT